AAAATAAATGAAAATTGAAAATGAACTTTATACATAGTTTATTACTTTTTATTACGTCAAATTTATGTTATGCAGTCATGCACAATGCAACTGATTTCAGGCTCTGTGTAATGCTTCAAAAATGCATCTAATCTTTTTTTTTTAAAAAAAAAATATGAATGAGGTAGAGGATCACATATTCTCCCAATAAGAAAATAACGGTGAAGAGTGAAATTTTAGATGCATTAAACTGTTTATATATAAACATATAACGTTGAAATATTTATATACAACTTACATGATGTAAAGGTATCCCAAAAGTAGAAAGCAAGAGCTTGTTGTGCCCTGCTTTGGGTAGGACGATGGGAAAAGTTAAAATGTGAATTGCCAATCCAAAAGATTAAAATATGAGCAAATTGATGGGCTTCACTCATTTATTGTCTTCGTGGGACTGAGAGTACAGTCCCATGTGGTGTTTACAGTTTTGGGAACCATTGAAATGAAAATTGATTTGTTATAATATATATCTGCCGACTGATTTTGGTGGGATAGAAAATATTTGAAAGAAATTTAAAACTAAAAATTTATCAAAAACCCACGTTTGATTATCCATTATCTAATATGCATAGTTTTGGGTGTATGTTTTTGTAATTTTCTTAAAAATAAATAAATAAAGCAATGAGTATCTATGTATGAAACAGGAGCCTATGGAGCTTAAATCTGCTGGTAACAAAAAAGATCGTACGGTTTGTTTCCTCGCCCTCCCTATGTGTTTTTGGCATTTTGCCGATCATGTACGGCTTTTTTAGGCTTAGCGTTTCTTTTTTTTATTTTTTTTTTTCGGGGTAAAGTTAGGCTTAGCGTTCCTTGTTCTTGTGTTCCCTTTTTTTCTTTTTTTAAATAAAACTATTAAAATCACTAGTTTCTTATTGATACTGAAATGATCATGTTATTAGTTGTTAGTAAATAATGTTATCTTACTATCACATACAATATTTAAGGAATAAATTTAAAATTAATCTGAAAAATGAAAGGTTTATGATTATTTTAATTAAATGATAAATATAATTAAACTAAAATAAATAAATACTCGCTCTAGTTTGTTTTTCGGGTCAATGTTTTGTGAATACTATACCTTGTAATGATTTATGAGTGGGAAAGAATATGACTTTTTTTTTCCTGATTTTATTTGTTAATATTATTGTTTATATGATTATCTAATTGAGTTATTATTTGGCTCACTCGATAGTATCTTTTTCAAAGATAGTTTTTACATTCACATATACTTAAATCAAGACTTTGTATTTAAGTGATTATAAAGTATTTCATTGTTTTACAAAGACCAACGCGGTGATGATTATTTAGTTATATTATTTGAATGATACAAGCATGATTGTTCGTGGATTCAAAAGAAATTAAATGATGAACAGAAAGTTGTCAAACGTCGTTTTGGTTAGTCCATTTTTTTTATATTTGTTTTAATTTAGTCTTACAATATCAATTCAAATTAATTCAAACTTGAAAGATAAGATTTAAAAGACGGACATTGTCTTGTAGCTTGCTATACGATTCTTCTCTAACATATCTCCTGCGAATTACTCTTATGGGAATGTGAAAAGTGAAACAATAAAAATGTGATGGTCAAAATTGAAGATATATATATATATATATATATTTAATATTTCACCAGCAAAATACACGTAGTGTAGTTGACACTAATTAATTACACAGAGAGAGTCATAGAAATTCCTGTGTGATAAAAGCAAACAAAGAGCTTTGAACTCCGACTCTGAATAATGACAGTGAGGTCACTGGATTGAGTTTGGTCGTGAACTTAGGATACTCTTTCCCCTATCCCTTCACGCCTGCCACTGTCTGTGTCGCTCAAAGTAATCATAAGTTATGGAACAGACGTAATGATATATTTTATAAATTATAGTTTGCTAACGTGATATATATTACAATTTTTTTTTAAATAAAGTTCATGCCATGGTGAACGGGAAGACGGTAGTCTAATATAATTTAATATTATACACTGACTGTGAGAGGTGAAATAAGTGAAAGTAGAAGTCTGATGAATGATGCAGATGTATAGGACAGAAGGAGGTGGCTGTTGAAGGCCTACATTTTAATTGGCTTCATTTTATTTCTGAGAAAATTTCTGGAAAGGCAAGATATTCAGTCTTAATTACTTCTTTGCAACTGCAAAAATCTAGCCAAATTAAGCCAATTAAGCAGAGAAGCGTCGAAAATGAAGAGAAGTCAATCAATACGATGAACCAATGTTTTGAAATCCGAATCGGACATCAAACCAAAAAGAGTAATGGGTCATAGTTTTTATGGTCCAACCGGTTAGACCGGCGGTCGAACCGGTGACATAAAAATTAAATAAAAAATAAAATTTATATGCGCAATTATATAAATAAAACATTAATTTGTCAATGGTGTTTGAGATTTCGACCTCAAAAGCTAGATGTTTAGATTATTGGAGTTAGAGATAGAGGCATGTTAGTACAAGCTTGTGATCTTAAAGAAAAATGTTGGAGCTGGAGGCATGCCGTTATATTATGACTAACAAGCTTTCGATCTCGATGCTAAAGGTTGAATCTTTAGAGTTGGAAGTAGGCGTTAGAGAAGAAGTTAGAGATTGAATTTGGGCCATGAAAGAGAGATTAGAGATTAAAGAAGAGAAGAAAAAAGAGAATTAGTGATTAGAGAAGAGAAATTGTGAATCTGAGTAACTCAGCCTGAATTTCTTTTTTTTTTAATTTTTTGGCTTTGAACCGGGTTGACCCGGGTTGACTCAAGTCCGGTTTTTGGGTCAACGCCAATTCTCTCAAAACTGGCCGGTTCAATCTGGGTCAACGTGGGTCAAATGTCAGATTGGTTCAATTGGTTGAACCGGATCGTTTTGTTTAGCGGGTGACGGTCGGACCGGTTGGACCGTCCGGTCCGGTCCGGTTTTTACATCATTGTGATGAACACATGAGCAGGTCATTGAAGCCAACCAGATTGCGCAAAGATTTCGCTTCTCTAAACACTCTGTCATTGATGATACCTCTATGAGCCTTAAGATGGCATATTTCCAGTGTCTTTATATATAAAATATTTTTTAAAAATTTATTTTATTTTTTAATATAAAAAGTGACAATGAAATTTTTAAACAATTAAATAATTTTATTCTAACTTTAAAAAATAAAATAAATTATTAATTGTATGTTTTTTTACTACCATCATAATATTAATTATAATATTATTAAAGATAAACTTGAAAAATTATTATGTTTTTATAGGAGTTTAATTAAATAATAAATTTTTATTATTATGTAAGATTTAATTAAAATAATATTATATATAAAAACGGAGGGAGTATATTCATGGAGCTTGATCGCTAACATGCCTCGCTCTGTCACTAATTATGAAGATTATCATTTATTACAACTTTCAAAAAAACAATTTGGAAAACAAATGGCCCATTTGCATTCCAATCCAATGTCATCATCAAAAGCCCACGGCTCGGAGGACACTCATAACATGCTCTCCAGGTCAGGTTATTAATATGCATTCTTCATGGTTTCGTTTTAACTATTTTTTTTTTTTTTTTACTATCTCCGTTTTAAATACGCGTAAAATTGTTTACTCTTTAGAACTTCAAAGCAATATTTAGTAATATTTTTCTTATTTCCCCCCCTTTAATCCAATAATTTAACTAACTTATTTAATACAATATTCATTATTAATGATTTTAGATGACCTGTATTATGAAACAGAAAGAGTATGTTTTAATATAAGATAAATGAATAAATTGACCCTTAAATTATAAGTCTAAAAACATTTTAGACTCTAAACTCATTTGTTTCACGATATTTTTTAAAATTTAAGTTAATTTTAGTTATTAGTTAACTAAAAAATGATAGAAAATAGCTTTAAAATTATAGAAAATGATTCACTAAAATTTTCTTAGTCATTTTTTTATTTTTGAGACCATTTTTTTTATTTTCAAATTAATTAACAATCAAAATTAATTTTTATTAATGATAAAAATTAAATAATATTATTTTTAAAAGTTAAAAAAAATATTATATAAAAGATGAGTTTAGAGCTCCAAACAATTCTCAACCTGTAATTTAGAGACTAATTTGAACCTAAGGACACTTTACAGGTTTCTACGAGTAATTAATTATTTGTTAGCTAAAATGCCCTTAAGAATAATTAATGAAATATTAGGGGCCGTCTGTGTGTTGTTGATAGCGGCCCTAACTTTTTCATTGTCCCCTTTCCCCGCAACTGTTTTCCGTGTTTTGCCCAACCAAACTTGTTTTTTTTTTTTTGAACAAACCAAACTTGTTTATTTTATATTTCATACTACCAAATTCTCCCGTTGTCACTTTGTCTTTTAGCGTTCAATTATATTGCAGTTCTTCAACAGCTTTGCTATCGCCAATCTGCCATCCGTGCAGCTTTTGTTGCTTTGTTAGCTAATTAATAATCCTTTTTTTTAAATTTTTTTTCCAAATAAGGGAAATTTTTATATCGTTTCTTTCTTATTTATTTTATAGTCCCAAAACAAGATTATTCATTTGAAATGATCGATTGTGCTATACAGATTTTTTTAATTGCATAGTTGAGATTTTCTAGATTTTTTAAAAAATGAAAAGATTTTTGGGAGGAAATTGCAATCAAATGAGGAGCTATCTTCTTCAAAAGCTTGTGATTCAAATCTCCAAGAACAAGAAACTGAAATTAATTTAGAAGATTTTTCATGAGATTGAAGAAAGTGATTTATATTACAATTTTAGCATATCATCCTAATCATATACATATATAATTATTTTATATTTTCATTACACGTAGTGTGTGTACATATATATATATATATATATATAAAAGAGAAGTGGTTGAGATTAAAAAGAAAAAGAAGCACTCGCATTAAAAAAGAAAGAAAGAAATAAAGAAAGAAAGACTTCTGGCGTGAGGACGTTTAGAGTATAGAGTGAGGTGAGAAATAGTCAAATCAACCAGTGAAGAGGAAACAAGCCAGAAGCAGCGTGACGCATCAACCAATAAATATCGTATTACTATATAAGATATCCATACCCATTCTCTTTCTTCTTCTTCTTGTGCTCTTCGTCACAATCCACAACATTAATTTATGGCTCTTCAGTGTGCTTCATCTCAAATCCTAATTCGCAAATCTGGATCGTTTCTCAAGTTTGCAAACAGAGATTACATGTCCCCACGAACTCGTTTGCCTCTCAGACTCGGAAAGGCCCCTCCATTCATACTCACAACCTCAGCTTCCATCGACAAGGTTCTCTCTCTCTCTATAAACTATTGCATAATTGATTGCTTGATTAAACCTAAACATGATATCTAAAAGCCAGTGAACAAAAATATAAAAATTGAGGTTTGTAGATGTGCGGTGGAACAGGTGTACGAGAATGAATCGGAGGGAATAGTTTGCTACAAAGACGAGAGTACTGGAGAGATTATTTGCGAAGGATACGATGAAGGGCCTCGGCTTCAACGAATTCCAGCACCAACCTTTCCTCCAAGGTTCAAATCATATTTCTCTATATTTCTTTCTACGGAAAACCCTTAATTTTTTAGCTTTTACTTTCATTTATTCAATTAAATTAAAATAATAATATTAATAATAAAAAATATTATATACTAAATGGTATATAAAAAATCTACGTGCTTCGATTTAATTGAAAGAAAAAAGCACTTTAATTAAGTATATAAGTTTTTTATATTCAATCTAGGAATATTCCCTCCGATTTTGGAGTTTTTAGTCATAATTTAATTCTAGTTAATTTGGATATATCTTGTGTTATTGTTGGGCTCAGAGATGCTGAGATCATGAATCTTCTGCTTCAACAAAGTTTGCTTCAGATCGTAAAAGGCAAAAAATGAACCTCTCGCTTCAACGTCTTTGCCTTCATCAACACTTCAACTTCGATGGTACTGAAATCTGACCCAACCAGCTGAACCAACAACCATATAAATCCTTATCACTTAACAAAACAAGCTGTGAGTGTGTTGTGAACGTGTGTGTGTTTATGTATAAACAAACTAAAGTACACCAATCACAAGACAGCGCGCACTTGTAAGTTCAATGGAGCTGATAAACAAATTTAAATGCTTTTTAGGGCAATAGTTTGTTTGTGATCCAAGCACATCTTTTTTATTGCTAGTGATTTTTTTTTTCACTTTAAAATGACAATTAAAGTTGAGAGTAAGAACTGAGTTTGAAAGGTTAAACTTAAAAGCCTTTTTTGAATTAAAGTTTGAGCTTGAAAAATAAATTTTTTTAAGATAATTGAATTTTTGGGCTTGAGCAGCCCTCCAAACTCGGTTCTATTTTTTAATCCATTGTATCTTGAAATGTATCATTTGGCAAATGAAAAAAAAAAAACCCTAAGTATTCATCAATTCTAAGTTCTCTCACTTTTATTGTCTCTCGACTCAAGTTGTCTCTCTTGCCCTCTCCTTTCCTGTAGCTGTCTCGCCTATCCCTCTTGCTGTTGTGCTCACATTTTGACTCTCTGCGTCTCTCGACTTGGTATTTCCCTCTTTTTGCCGCTCAATCTTGCAATCTTCTCTTCTTGCCTTTGCTTGGTGTCTCTCTCTCATCGTTCTCTTGTTTTGGCCTTTTGACTTTCTTACTCTTAGATAATTTCTCTTCTGGCATAGACCTTTTTTTTTTAGGCTATAGATGTTCAATATTTCAATTTGATGCTCACTCTAAGGAACTCATTTTAATTTGAAAAGTCTAATTCCTTATCTTATTCTATGAGAATTATATCGGTATACCTCGTGTATTTTGTTTTTGGAATTTTGTTGTAAATTTTAATGACATCAACTAACATGTATTAAGACTTTTAAATCTTTTATTTATTTTTTAAATAATGTGAGACATTAATTTAGTTGAATTTATCATTATTTGTAATCTTTTGAGTATAGTTTAGGAACAAATATGATTCTTAACCTTTTAATTAAACTTGTATACAAAAAGCCTTCCAATCAATATTTTAATTTTTATCAATCTAGTATCTTACACAACAATCTGTTCTTTTATTTTTTTTTAAATGTTTGAATCTATTTTTTCTTACACAAATTATTACATTTTTTTATTATGGTTGGCATTAATATCATGTTATCTAAAGCAACAAATTTTGACAATGTTGTCTTCTTTTTAAGTAATGAAGACCAAGCCAATGGTTGAGAGCAAACTTAAGAAACTAAATTAATAAAAATTAAATTTAAAAGATCAAAGTTAATAATTGAGATAAATTTGAGTGACCAAAAGTTTTATTTTTTTTTTATTTTTCACCATTTATTTATTTTTTCTTTGAATCAAATTTTTTAGGAGGGAGACTGACATTGAAATTATGAGATTTTGAATTTGGACCTCACCATTTCATTTTCCTCTGATTAATTGATAGGAAACTTTTTATAATTAGAGTCAGTTTATAAAACATACGTAGTTAAAGTAATTATGACTATATTTTTTTTAAACATATTTTTATTCTTCACAATTAACTTGCTTTACTTATCTTTTATACATTACTTACATCAACATTGTTCAATCACACTTGCACAAGGAGCAGCATCATTCATAGTCCAAATCTTCCAAATTTTGTTGGTGAATTAAAATATTAAAGTCTTGTATTTATATTGAATAATCTTGAGTAAACATTTTTTATTTTTAAAATGTTTAATTAAAACATGTATTTAAATTTTTGATGATAATATAACAAATCTGTGATTTAATTGAGAAATCATACAACTTTTTATATCATATATTTTTTAATATATAATTTTATCTCTCTGACCTAGCTCATGAATCTTTCTGCTCATATTCCTGCAAATCCTGAATTTGATCTCCCCCACCAGCTGTATCCAACGAGGAATAAACAAGAAAGAAAGAAGATGGCCATTGCCATTAGTAAAATGATGACAATATCTAAACCCATGCAAGCAGAATATGATGAAGATCTTACATACATTTGAAATCTGATCTATCCAATTAATAAGTACAACTCTGAGAAATTTATCACGTATAAATGTACATATTGTGATGCTAGTTACATTCACTATGTATAGATTATTGTACACAGATATCATATACAGGCTCATCAAATATTTCTTTCCTCATACAGACATCCTGCGGCTTCTAACAGCCTCTTTTCTCTTTATTCTGCATCTTCTAACAGCTTTAAAAATGAAAAAAACAAAAAACCTATATAAAGAGAGAGAGAGAGAGAGAGAGAGAGAGAGAGGAGGAGGAGGAGAAGAGCAAAAAAAGAAAGCATCAAAGAATTATTCAACTGAAGTAGACGGTGTGTTCTCTTCAAATAAATCAGACTGGGATTTAGGTGGAAGAGACCACTGATCCGGAAGCATGTAAAAATAACTGCTCATTGCTTTCCTGAACCTTTTCTTGTATTGCTTGGGTGATATTACCGTTGGAGCTGCATTCTTGGGGCCTCCAAGGATGCCAGCAGCTTTTACCCACGTTTCCAAATGCTTGTCCCATGTATACTGCCTCATGTAATCAATGATTCCAATCACCAACTCATGCTTCTCTTCATCCATCCCAAGAAGTAATGAATAGTCCATTACGCCGACCGACTGCACAAGAACAAGACACAAAACAAGGGAAATAATGGGGCATAAGATGAAGCGAATGTTTGTTTACACCTTTCAATTTGGGGTTAGCTAATCCTCTGTGTATCAATAGACACAAGCGTTGCTTTTCTATTATTTCACTTTAATAGATCTGATATTTGAGTTGTTTTGGAATGGACATTGTTTCTTTTCTTTTTTGGTTTCTGCACCATGAGATAATAAGCATTATATAGAAGAAAATTGATCCCTCAGATAGTAGAAACCTCTCCAAAGCTAGGAAGAAAAGAAAAAATTGCATGCATTACAAGAAAGAACATCAGATATAAATAGCTCTTCAATACTTACAGCAAGAAAAGAAGTATCATTCCAGACAGCTCTCTCTAGCAACCGTTTTGCCTTATTTCCCACAAAAATGGGAGAAGTTGGTATTGATTCAATCAAGTTCTGGTCCAGCAGAACTTTGTTGCTCCCAGTAGAGTCCGAATTATAGCGAGACCTGGAAGATCCTTTGAGATCATAAAGTCGTTTCACATTCCTCCCAAACAGAAGATTCTCCATAACCAAGACATCTATCCTTGATTCTTTCCCCCCCTTAGGATGCTTTACTGTAACCTTTCGAGGACAAAGCAATCGTTAAACAGAGTTTATCATATGCTATTCAGCAAAGAAACATTACCATTTATTCATTTGCTCTCTAGAGAAAATTTCAAAAATTACATGGCCATTTAAACTTTTTGGACAATTTAAGCAGGCCCCTTTTCCTTTCCTTTCTTTTTCTTTTTTTAAATCTTCCTCTTAATTAGTTGCCTGCTCAATGCCTGGTAAAGTTTTCATCTCATGAGGAAACATTATAGCAGTTTTCTCCTTAGCTCATAAAATAAATAATTTAGAATCTGGAACATTTGAGGATAACATACAAGTACCTGGTATATTCCTAGAATCTTTGCCAAGCATGTTGGACCTCCCACCTGGTATATTGAATCAGAAAGGTACTTGAAGTAATCAGGACCAAATTTAATAAAGGATTCAAGCTCTGTTTTGGTGACTTGTTTGATGATAAATCGATCGTCCAAGGTTTTTGCAAAGAATACGTTACTCTTGCCACCTTGAGCTCCCCATTTTCTACAGCGACTCAAGGACCGTACATAGTCAAGTTCGGAAGGACAAGAGGTCCTTCTTAAGGCTTCAAACAGCTTGGCATAGTAAACAGTCACAGAATATTTGACCTTACTATGGAGACCATCATCTCCAAAGGAAACTCTGGGATGCATGGCCTTTGTACATACCAGTGGATCTCCTACCCATGTGCTACGTGAGGCAGAAAAGGATGGTAACGTATCATCTGTTGAGAAAAAACTTATCTGAGAATCAGAAGTTGTTTCATTAGCAGAAAGGAACGACTGGAAATTTCCCGAGTCAGACAAATACAATGAAGGCATTGTTTCAACTCCATCTTTTGTTCTTTCTCCTTCATCAATCAGCTGTGCATGATATTCTGGTGACATTAGTGCATACGATATGATACTCGAGGGCTCATCATCAAACAGTGGTATTACAGTCTCATTAACTCCAATCGGAAGAAGCAGCCTTGCTTCGCCTTGTAGTTCCATCTCCCGAAAGGAAGATAAGGAAGATACATACACAGGATTGTAGTCTGCTAGTGTATCAAACTTCTGGGAACTGGCTAGAGAGTTCTTGTTAAATGAGCGATAGAAGTTTATGAACGGCATTCCTAGCCAGCTTAAAGAGTCTTCCATAGTATCATGTCCTTTCGGCATATTCTTGACAACATTCTTGTCTTCTGCATGATTCCCTTGATTTGACATGTCTCTTTGTATAGCGGTGCTCAAATCTGCCATAAACTCATCAAGATTTACAGAATTGTTATCCTTTAGGATTTCAAACCCTGAATCCTCACCTGTCCATTTTGCATCAAGGGTATCAGACAAACAGTAAGACATGGATTGATAATGCCCCTCAGAAAGAGATCTGCGAATGCCTAACCCAAGATTTGAAGAGTCAGGTTCATCCTCTTTCTCATGTTCTGTGTCTTTGTCCCAGTCAATTTCTTGATCAAATATATCATCACCTTGGGAAATTTTGCTACCATGTCCTCCTCTGACCAGATAAGGGCTTTCGAGAAGCTTCGGATCCATAAGAATGCAATCACTACTCCTGAAACCTGGCATGGACATCCCACTTTTCAATTTTTCATCCGTGGTTCTCGTCTTGTCATCTGAAATTGAACCGCTTAAATCACTCTCGTTTGTAAAATTAGCTGAGCTGGCAACATGGATAAGGCGGTGGTCCCACATATATGATTGGAAAAATAACTGCCTCCGCGCGACCGATTAATTTCCAGAATGTCAACCCCAGGCCGGCCCTTTCTCTTTTCCTGGTTTAAAATCTTATGAAGTGCTTCCTACGTAAAATGAAAAGAAAGATCGAATCACAAGCCTTGAGTACATAGCATTCATATGCTGCTTCATTTGTGAAAATTATTAAAACTGCCCCTAAGTTCTACAAAAGTTATCAAGTATAAATTGCAGATATCAAGAACGAGAAGAAGGGGAAAAACAAAGAAAGAAATTGAGGAGGAGGTGGCAAAATTAAAAATTGAACAGGAACCTCACATGATAAATTCATTAAACATAGCAAATTTCCGCGCAATTTCACACTTACCAGGCACATGGTAAAGCTGGTCAGATCAATTTCAATGGTCAATGGACACTACCCATTTTAAGATCTCAAAAACTTCTTATATTTACCATGTTCACAGGAAAAGGACTTCAATTTAATTTGTTATAAAAGCCCAAATAATCAAAATGAGTCTTACAAGATAAGGAACTAACTAGAGCAAGGCTCCAAATTCAAGCATTTAGAACTAAAGGCCTCACCTCAAATTCATCTTTCTCCCTTCGTAACATGGCCTCTAGTTCCGCAACTTGGCTCCCAGATTCAGGTGTTACAAGTCCACTACTAACTGGCATTGAGCTAGTTCTTTTGTCTTCAATCTGACTAAGAGCACTCTGTACCTCTGAAAATAAAAGCTCCGCTCGGTTAACCACCTGTTACACATCAAATCACGTCTGCGATCAAACAACCATATTTAAAGATCTAACATCTCAAGAAAGTGAATATTGAACCTCATCTGACTCCTTTTGTATCCATTCTTGATTTTCATCATCAAACTTGAGTTTGTATGGGGGAAGGTAGACCGAGTGAATTTCGATTGATACATACCGAAAACAAGCAACCATATGCCCAAATCTGCAAGAAATTGAACATAATCTACAAATAAATCCTACAAAAATAACACATGCATAAGCTACAAAAACCTATAGATTCTATATTCCAAAAAAAAAAACATTCCCCCAAATCTGCAAGAGAAATATGAACATGGCGAACTAGTAAATAATTCCCACAAATACATGAAAAATCTAAACCAATTCTAATTTCATGAATGGGCGCAATGAAACTCATTTCCATAAAGACACAAAAAACTATAAGGCTTTTCAAAAAGTGGTTATAAGAAGGGAATCTATTGCATAACTGAGTCAAGCTAAAGATAACCAAACGGTTTGTTTCAATTCAACTAGATGTAATTCAAACCAAAGTTGATCATCCGAAATAATTTTGGGAATCTAGATTACAAGCATGAAAGTTTGGGAAGAATGATGCGTAACAAGCAATGCAATGTTGAATAAAATTTGAAGCAGAGTTTTGCTTATTCATACAAGAAGGAGAAAAATGATCACCCATAAAAACGAAGACAATCCCTATGTAAAGAGTGACCGCAGCCTGCCACTCTGCTTGCTGCAGCATGGTTCGAGAAACTGAGTTCCAAAAATTTCCCAAATGATAATCCCCAAGCAGCATCAGACATTATTATTCTATTTGTAGCGGGAGGAAAACCATTCATTCTTGGACACTTCAGGCATCTGTGCCACATCCAGATCTTTCCATCCTTTTCCCCATGTAGGAAAATTTCGGGCAGTTTTTTAACTGATATGGTGATGGTTCCCTGCCGATGAGTATAGCAATGCACATGTGCTTCTGATGGCATTTCACAGAAGTTGCACTGATAACTCTGAAATGCAATGAAACGAAGCATGAGAACGGTAGCCAGAGTTCTCAAAATAAAAATGCATGGATTATTTCTGGAACAGAACCAACCTGATCAAGTAAACAGTCCCGCAAAAAACGACCCAAGGGTTTGTCAAAGGTTCCATAGTATGCAATACGAAAAATATGGGGCCTCTCACACACGGTTCCCTTCCATACGCATCGGGAGGACATGGACACTAAAATACTTTGATGATCAGTAGGTGATGGCGGAAACACTTCTTCAGCAAGTAATTGCTCTTCATTCACTGCTTCTGTCTCTTTGGAATGGCTTTGACCAACTTCTAAAGGCGACAGCTTCAAAGCACTCAGTGTCGTGGACATTTGGCTGAGACTGTTCTGAGGTGTGTCTGTCTGGATGTGATGAGCAAATTTATCTGAAGTCCAATATTCATTTACAGAAGGAGAAGGATGATTATCCATAATTTCAAGAGAACAGTTCATTACAGAAGTTCCCGACATGAGAGATATTTTAGATTCCATTTTATTTATATCTTCACTTGTAAGAGGCTTCTCATAATAGGACATTGAAGTTGATGAAGGAAAAGAAGAGGGGTAAAAGGTAGTTGAGTTGCTGTAACTTGAACCTGGTGGCATAGATGAATAAGGAGCATAAGACAAGGAGGTCTCTTTACCCGCCAATAAGTGAGGCAAGCTCAGCAATTGAGATGCTTTTGGCTCTCTGTAGTTCAGTGCCAAGTTCAGGTCCCAGAGACTTTTCGCTGCCAGGAATGGGATAACCAGGCACTGTTGAGATGGACCTCTCAATGACCGGTGATTTCTCTGGAATGGGCACAGGTATTGGACCATTCAAAGGACACTCTGTTTGTGAGGCTCCTTCATCAGCAAGAAAGATGTCTCCATGGCCAAATGGTAAGCTGCGAAAACTCCATACTGTACCACATGCTTTACCTTCTTCAGTTCATCCTTGTCAGCACCTCGAAGTAAAATCTGTAAGAAACAGATGCGCTAAGTGAACACTTAATGTAGGTCTACGAAAAACAAGTTGTACTCGAATGGCTTCTAAAAATTGACAAAACATCTTGGATGAAATTTTCTGGCATATACTTTTCAAGCAAGGATGTACATGACAGCAATCATTGATTTGGGTGGATATAGATAATCCATCTGCAATTCATTAGAAAGAGTGCCGCAAAAATTTTTATTTCTTCAAATGAAATATAAAATTAAGATAAGGACACACCGTGAACCCAACGGCTTAGGACAGCCTTCAAAAAACATTAACGTCTTTGCAGATTTTTTCCCTTCATGACCAGCACTACCTAGGTCTTCAATAAACTTTTCCACACGAAATGTTTCACAGCTGCCCACTTCAGCGATGATAGATGATCAACTGAAGGTGCTATCTGAGTTTCCGTACAGCGTGCTATGCGCTCCAGAAATGACATTTTGACATTGAGAACCAATGATATGCCTTGTGCAAGAAGATATTCCTGTGCGTATCGAGAAACTGATTTCTCCACCAAAAGGATATCAGGTTGTTGTGTAGCTATTTTTGCCACCGCCATCTTCAAATGCTCCATTTCCTAGAAAAGAATGTAAACTTGTCAGCATGAACTCATGAAAGTGAACATATAGGCTGTGCTCCAGCAACCAAGCAAGTGCCACGCTAAACTTATAAAATGGTAAACAAGTACAACCTGCTGCAATAGGGTATCTACACTAGTCAAGAGATTGGTAACACGCTGATACTCAAGCGCCCCTCCAAGGATCAACAAGCGAGGTCTATCTACTTTTGATCTCATTCGCCGATGAGCCACATTTTTCTTACAGACAACTCCTTTAACAACCCACACTGTGAATAGAAAATCCAAGAAGCAGGTCAAGTAGCAGGAAGGAAGGGCCATAGAAAGTTAGACTTCTCTTTGTCCCATATTATGGCTTAATAGTAATGCAAATTAAATTAAGTAATAATTTGTCCTTTTATCCAAACTTTAATGACAATTTATAAAAGCGATAGATTGTTACTTCTGTGAAAGTTGTTCCCAATTCAAAGGATACGGAGCAAGACACGTGAGAGTAATCAGAGGAGGACTTAATGGCTTCTAGATTTCGCAAGTCATAATGCATCTAAAGACCATTCTCTAGCCATGCTATATCCAAATCTAGCAAGAGGCTGACAAATTAATAATCAGACAATTGCATTTTTTCCCAATTTGTTGATACTTTTCCCTTGAACTATTTTAAACAAACCATTAGTAAACCAACATTTATTAATTGATATGAAGAACATAAAACATCCTATGTGGATATTACAACAGAAAATCATACAGATTATGGCACTTACCTCTCGCTGCGGCTCCCGCATGCTATGCATTTGACCTTCACATATCCACCCGGGTCCATCCCACCACTTTGGCTTGTATCTGGTTTCAATAACCTAGCAGCCTCCCATGATAGAGAAGTGATGATTTCAAACCAACTGTTGTTATCATTTTCTTCAACTGGTAGGTTTTCAACTAGTAACAGCTGTGCTACCAGGGCCCTAAAATGTTCATCAACTACATTGCTTGTGCCCATTCTCTGTTCCTCACATGACGAATCTCTATTCGGGTCCTCTCCACTTTCGAAGCTGCTTGGTGAGTGAGCATACCCCCACTCTCCTATGTCATTCCCATAATAATCATCTTCATTGTCAAATAACATGTCTTCTCGTTCATATTCTTCGTCTTCCGGTTCAGGAGGGAGCCAGAGAAGTCCATTATTTTCAAAATCTAAGGGTTCAGCATCAATATCTGCTGAAACATATAAAGAAGAAGGTGCTTCGTTTTCACATCAAACATATCAGGCTCATCTTCATTTTTTATGATAGCCGGGATTTCATCCAAACCCCTCATGTCAAAGTATTGGTGCTCAAAAGAGTTGCATAGAACTCCTGTATTGATGTTATCTTCATCAGGATGCACTTGTGATCCATCAATGTCGTTAATTCCATCAAAATCAGCTTGACCATAGTAGCCACCGACTCCTGAATAATGCCTCATTTCAGAAGCTGACTGATACACACTGTAATCATCCTCTTCATCACCGCTCCTGAAGCAGGATAAAAGCATATTTTCTGAGACAGACTGTTCCATAAAACTGTCTTCATGATTAAGGGCTGTAATTCTTGATTACTCTCAATCTCACATTGATTACAAATTATATCCATGTAGCCAGTCTAACCGGCTTTGTTTCTATCATAACTAACTAACTAACTAACAAGGAAAATTAGAAGCAAGAGCAACCAGTGATTTGAAAAGGGGGAAGAAGAAAAGATCTGCCAGCACTTGTGGGATGTGCTCAATCTCATTTGATCATTATTTATTATTTATTATTTTAAAGTTGAAAATACATTAAATATGTCAAGTGTATCAAATTAAAAACAAAAAAAAATAGAAAACTTAATAGAACAAAATTATGAAATAAAATAAAATATCATCTATAAAGTTTAGAGGATCTGTTTCAATAAAGTTATTAGATTGTTTTAAATGTATAAATTGATGATTAGTCAATTATATTTTTGTTTTGACACAAATGACCTGAAAAGGTACATTACCCTTTCATTGAGTATTCGTATTGCTTTAAATGATGAATTCCCAAGGCTTGCCACAAGATCCCTCCCAAGTGCTGATAAAATTTCCCTATCAAGACTTTCTAATTTCATAGATGATCGATGTAGGCTCACACCAGATTGTTGCCCTTGTTGATAACAACCAACCGAAACGGGAAGGGAGCAAACAATGTTTACTACTATTAGCGGTGACAACAGATTTGGTACTGATAAAGCTTGAAGTTGATGCTGAAGAACTATGATCCAAACTGAGGACCTGATTATTACTATTACAACTAGCTAAGCCTGCTTCCATTGCTTGTAGCAAAAATTGCATACCCGAACCTTGTCCCTCTCATCCGACAAGTTCCTTTGGTCGCTAGATAGAGCAGGAGCTAAGTTTGAGGTACAGCTGGCACAAAAAATTTTGCCACAATGACGACAATGGTGCCTGCGATTAGTTAAGTTGAATAGGGAATCACACCCATAGCATACTGTACAACTGTTTTTTGGCCATCCAAAAAACCCTGGACACATTTGTCGACTCAGATTGAGGTGGCCAAGGAATCCATGACTTGACGATGCTCACAACTTCAGAGAATGTCCTCCGTCGAGCAACCATTGACAAATACAACTTCTTCCCCGTTCATTGTGACAGGTTCATCTGGCACTCCTGATAGGCAACGATCTGAATTGGAAATTCACACAAAACAAAGAAGAAGAAGAACTAAATCACTCCATGAGATCCAAGCTACCGTATTGACAACTCCAATACAAACCTTCGCGGTCTACATCAACAAAGGATCCACAACCTTGTTTGAGGAAGTTCAAGGTTATCCATTTCAGAATTTAACCAATTCCACTGTCACAAATCCATCTGCACAATTACACAAGGATTACCGCCTAAACCCACGTCAAATTAAACTCATAAAAGTGACCGAATTCAATAGAAACAAAAGCTCATAGCAGAGAAGATCTCTCTCTACCATCACATAGAAGACTCAAACACGCTTCTCAGACAATGCTAATTGAAATGGTCATATTCATCCGTCGTCTTCATCTTCAATCACTCCACGCATAACCGTTAACTTCTCATTTCAAATATTCAGAAGGCGTGGAGATGAACCAGATTGAATTATAGTTTTAAACAACCTAATGAACCAATCAGACAAACTGCTGGTGATCAAAAACGAAATTGAAGCAGGATCGCATGAAATTCTGATTAAAATTCCCGCTGAAATCACGTACAACAGTTTTTTTTTTTTTCTCGGTCAAATTAAGGCACAAAGAATACGATTGCGCCTCAGAGTTAACGGACTCCTCTGCACGGAAAACTTAAAGACGGAGAGAGGTTATTCAGATATAGTCTTGGGAAACAAACACGGACCAAGAAACGATCCTATCCTTTTTCTATCTTAATAATCAAGAAAGCTTCAATTCTGGATCGCGATTGTTCATGAAACTTCCACTTCCGACGTGGTTCATCCAAAATATTCATATATAGAAGAATATCAATCAAATTCAATGACGAAGGATGACATTGGTAATTCTGTGAATAAATTGCAACGCCTCCAAGTAATTGTATAGCAATTTTATTTTTTCCGATAAAATTAGGAAATTAAAACAAAAAAAAAATAACTAGAAATCTTTGTCTTTGTGGGGATTCAGTGACACAACTCTCCATTCTCTTATTCTTCCATCGTTTTTCCGTTTCGCAGCAAATAGTCGTTGTTGTCCCCTTCTCTAATTCGCGTGACCCAGAAACCGAAAACTGCTGACGTGGCCGCATCCCATCACAACATTATTCAAATATGTTACATGTAAATACATCGGTTGTACCTTTACACACACACACACACATAAATATTCAACCACTTCAAAAAATTACAAAATTTACTTTTAACTGCCATGCAAGAAGTTTTCAGTGATCTAGACTTGATTCTTATTTATTCTTTAATAAGTGATTATTTTTTCACCTTGTATATTTAAAGAGGATTTCAGCATGGAAGTATGAATGGATAAGTATGAAGTTCATGAGAATTATTCAAGCTTATTTATTTAAAATCAAATATAACTCCATATTAAATGACAAATAAATAATTAATATTATTTTATAAAAAAATAAATTGGGTCTTTACACTATTCTCGC